ATAATTTACTGAGAAATAAAAAATTAAAAAAAGGATAATACAAAATATTTCTTATTGATTTTATTTTTTGGATTATGAATTTGAAAAAGAGTTGATACTAAAACATCTCAAATCATGATTTTTTTTTTTTTTTTTTAAATATAAAATGGCAGGAAATACTTGAATTTTAACCATCTGTGCAGTGGCGTGCACAGACATTTTGGGGGACAGGTGCTCAAGTGAAAAAAGGGCACCTTTTTCAAAAGCTGGCTGCCTTAGTTGTGCGAGGTTTATTACAGGCACATCTGGTATGATATGCATATTTATCTATTGTAATTTGATAGTCGTATGCTATCTAATGCAGATGTTTAATAATATTCAGCTCTCAACAGGTTGGTTTCTGTAACAATCAAATTGGCAACAAAGAATAGCATTGCCACATTGTGCATGCTTTAGCGCAGTGGTGCAGGGCTTAATATGAGATAGATCCTGCCGGAACAGGACCCGGGAACTCTCTTATTTTGACAGGGTGCATTCTGGCTACTGTTTGCTTGGATCCGGTAACTATCAGGCTTACTAATAATAAAGGTATGAACAAATATGGCTGCCTTAAACAAATAAAACTCATATTGGATATGTAAATTGAAAATAACTACATAAACACTCATTTTAAACACAACAGACGACACAAGATGACTTCTTAATATCACATACGATATTCTGCTCCTTCGAGTGAAGCATTTCCGCCTCTCCTCTTAATAATATATCTCGACCCCTAAAAGAGTGGTGGGGGGTGGGAACCTGGAGGTTTCACAGTGAATTCAGTGGAGAAGTGACAATCACTTTAGCAGTTAGCTTCTGCTAATTTGTTTAGTGATTTAGCGTTAGTGATTATTTTAGTTAGCGGATTATGGGTTTTAATAATTTATTCTAAAAAAATATCCAACCAAAACAAATTTGAGCTTTGAAGGACTCTATACAGACACTTTGTCCAGCCCTTAACATGACTGTGGTGTTAACTCTGACCTTTCTTCCTCGTCCGTCTCCTCCTCCTCATCCTCTGTAGCTGCTGCTGGTTTGATCCAGGAGAGCAGAGGACTGCTTCCCCTACAGGCTGCGTTTTAGCTCTTTCTTTTTCTTTTCTCCACCTTTCTTTTCTTGGTGTTATGCTGCCAAATGTGCCAAATCTACGATCTGTGCATGTAATTAAGGGTTAACGGCGCCAGACGAGACTTTCTTCATCATGAGACAAAACTGATGCAAGTGAAGTTATAACATCGGCATCTGAGGTTTAGTGGGTAAATCCACTGGTTTTGTTTGTTACCTGCTGGTTAGCTGTAACCAGGGTTCTGCTGGGCAGATTTTTTATTTATTTTATTGATGTTTTCCCCTACCTTAACTGTTTTGAGACAAATTTGTGTATACTAAGCTTTTATTTTTGCACTCCATCATATCGAATCTCTCATGGGGTTTGAATGAATTTTTTTCTTGTGAATTTATTCCCTTTTGAATGATTTGTGTCTACAGAAGTCGGCCTTCCATCTTCCCCAGACTCTAGTTTATAAGAACGGTTATGCTTTGCCTCGCCGGCCCTCTGTAGGCATCGGCCAGGAAGCTCTTTTCTCAGAGATGCTTTCTCAGCAAGAGATTGATAAGCTGTCCTTGGAGCTGGCAGACATTGCATACGAATCACACGACCAGAAAATGTGTGAAGACTTCATCCCAGCTTATGTGGCACTCGACAAGAAGGTCTGTTCACACCAAAAACATCTAAAAAAAATAATAATTAAAAGCCTTTATCCATTAACAGCGTGTATTTTTGCTTCTTATTTCCTGCGTGTCTTGTAGTTGCTCCGCTTTTTTGCTTATTTTACGGAGGATGTACTTTATTCTTCTGACGAGGAGTATCGTGTGCGCCCCGTGGTCATTTACTACTACCTTAAAGATGACAGCATGTGCATTGTCGAGCCCACAGTGAAGAACTCCGGTCTTATACAGGGGAAGCGGCTCAAGCGCCAGCGTCTGACAAAGAACGAGCGTGGCGATCTTTACCTGTGGAAAGACCTCAACCTGGGCATAGACCTGGAAATACACGGGTTCAAGTATCACATCATTGGCTGTGATGATTTCACAAAGGTACCGTAACTGTTCTCCAACAGTACGTTGGAAAACTTTCTGTTTGGGTCTTATTGTCATTTACTGACAACAGGAGTTCATGGAAAGTGAGGGCATAGTTCTGAACGACCCAGAGCCCATGCCAGAGGATCCTTACATTAAACGCCGTCATGCCCCTCAACCTTCCTACACCACCACCCCGTCCACGTTTAACAAGACGAGCAACTTTTTCGCCATGGATGGACAGGTAAATAAATCCCTTCTGCTACAACTTCATCAAATAAAACATGCATTTGTGGACACCTTAACATGGGAGCAGCCCCGTTACATCGAGCGAGTTATAGGATGTATTATTACATGTAAATATTTATGTTTTATGGGTTTGTGTTGGCTTTTACAAATGTTCACCTACAATCCGAATATACTTTTAAAAACATTTTTAAGAAAAATTAAAGCAACATTTGCAGTAAACTCTTTAAAGCAACATTTGCAGCAAACTCTTAATAGAACCATGCTGTTGCAATTTATGCTCATTTTGTTTCAACAAGTAAAAACTATTACTTTGAACAGAAAAAGCCTTCTGATGCCTTGAAAATGTTTTGGCAAAATCTCATTTGACGTGAAATAAAACCAGCCTGGTATTATTGTTAAAATCTTCTACAGCATATGTGTCAAACTCGAGGCCTGTGGGGCAAATGTGGCCCTCCTTAACATCTTATCTGCCCCCCAAGATGTTATTTTAAATGTAAAATACTTTTATCACTTAATTATTTTTTCGGTAATCTTTGATTATGATGTCAAAAACGCAACAGAAAATGTCTAATGTGACCAAACAAACTCTTGATGAGGAACCTGCAATCAAGAAAAGATGTTGGGTATCTAACTTGAGTAAATATAGATTCTGAAACTGGCCTTTACTTTGAAAAAGGTTTTAATTTTGACTCCCTTTTGTAAGTGAGTTTGACACCCCTGTTCTACAAGATGCAGATGTTTGGACACAAGTAATGTTTAGAAATAAGACGGAGCAGCATGGAAGATGTTCAAAACCTCTTCAGTGTTGCATTTACCCATTTTACAGCTTTATGGTACAACCAGGGCTTAATTTGAGCCAGATCTTGCCGGAACAGGATCCGGGAACTCTCTTATTTTGACAGGTTGCATTCCGGTCCCTCGGCTTCCGGGTCGGATCTGGTAACTCTCAGGCTTACTAGTCATAAAGTTATGAACCAATATGACTGCCTTGAACAAATTAAATTTATGTTGGATATGTAAACTGAAAATAATTACATAAACACTCATTTTAAACACAACAGCCACGTTACGAGCACATGATCTGCCTCTTCAAGTAGCATTTCCGCATCTACCCTTAAAAAATCTCCACTCCTAAAAGAGTGGTGGGAGCAAGTCCTGAGCTCACAGGCAGCTGCCTGGAGGTTCACGTGGAGTTGGACAACAACGAGCAGGGACAGTGTCGGGCTTGATTCCGAGCCGGACTTACTTGACGGTTCAGTCAATTAATGGGGAGTGGGGGGATGCTTGACAGAAGCAGAGTGTTTACAAATGTAGGTAAACTTAGATGTTTAACAACCCGTTAAAATGCACCAAAATGCAGGAAATCACAAAGGAAATCACTACTTTATTCAAAGTTTTCTGGGAAAAGACCTCCAGACTCCCACCCCCCAGCCATTTGTGCTCCAGCATTGATCGGTTTACAAATTAAGCCCTGGGTACAATGTAATATATATATTTTTTTAAGTATCTACGATTCTCATCATTCGTTGTGCTTGTCGAAGAACTGCTTCCTTATTCTTATTTAAAAATTGGCATAAAAAAGTGAATATAAGCGCAGAGACACGTTAATTTAAAAAGTGATATTTACTCATGTTCCCTACAGAAGTTTTCACATCTTGTGAAGTATCTGGATGCCAGTTCTGCCTTCAAGCTGCTTGTGTTTTGTCCAGGTGCTACGTTTTTATGCTGTGTGGGACGACACCGACTCCCCGTTCGGAGACACCAGACATGTCGTCATCCACTATTACCTGGTGGATGACACGGTGGAGATCAGAGAGGTCCATGAACGCAACAGTGGTCGGGACACGTTCCCCATTATCATGCGCAGACTGAGCGTGCCTAAGAAACTGAAAACGGGTAAAAAAACAGTGTTGCGAACCTTTTGATAGTGTTCGGTAATTTCCTTTGATTAGACGAGGTGAAGTAAAGCTTTCCTTTCATGAGTCCTGGTGTGTAGCAGAAAGATTTAAAACATCAGTTTCTTATTTTCATACTGTGCAAGATTTTCCACAGATATTCGTTGCTCATTTACTACGTAACCACTCTCTACTCTTGTAAGGAACTTTCCCTAGCTGTTCAATGGAGATCGCCAAGGATAATGTAGAAGAGTATTACTCCCCCAAAGACTTCCAGTTGGGTCAAACAGTGACGCTACTGAGCCGTCACTTCTTGCTGTATGACTGCGACAGATTTACTAAAGAACATTACCGGAAGAATTATCCTGAAATGGACATGAAACCCATAGAGTTGCCAAAAAAGGCTGAAACGCTTCCGGAGAAGAAAAAGGTAAGAAACTGGATTTTACGTTTGTAAAAACCCATATCATTTGAAGCTTCTTTTGTTTGAATACTTTTTCCTCAAGCAATACCCTCTTTGGTTCCTGTTGTCCAAATTCACAGGAGTTTCCACCCTACAATGGATTTGGTTCTCTTGAAGACTCTCTCCAGAACTGTTTGTCTCTCGTTCCTCAGCCTCCAAAAGTGAACTTGTTGAAGATGCTGGAGAACGACCACAAAGTGTTGCACTTCAGTGTCCGTCTGGTAAGAAAGCCCTTTAGAGCTTTCTGTTCAATAGAGTAAAGCGGAATGACTATGATGTACAGCTCATCAAACTTAAACATTGAGATTACACGACTCATGTGGCGATGTGTTAATTTTAAATTAATTAAAATGTGGTATTTAACATCAACTCCTTGCTTAGGCCGTCTTGTGCTACGTTCCAGGTTTCTCCGCATCCCGAAGATGAAGACCGACGTTTTACACTGTCCTACTTCCTGTCCGACGACATGATCAGTATTTTCGAAAAGCCCACACGCAACACGGGGGTCATCGGTGGAAAATTCCTGAAGAAGACCCGCGTTCGCAAGCCGGGCACTACGGAGGAGAATCCAGAGTTCTACTCACCTGCAGACTTGGCTATAGGAAACACTATCGAGGGTAACATTCCTCGATTTATTTGTATTATTTTGGTATAGATATCTAAACAGAAAAGCTCAGCTCATTTTTTTTTTTTTTTTTTTTTAAGTTTTCAGCCATCGCTTTGTGATTACGGACGCTGATCTTTACGTGCTTAAATATCTGGAGTCCATTTCAAGCCAGATCCCCTCTCACACACTGGATTCTTTGAGACAGAAGCTTGGCATGGGGATGACGGGAAACCAGCCCGCTGACGAAAATGGTAACCATCAAATCTGCCCTTTTACCTAATTTTCTTGTGACAGCTGTCAGTTACACCATCCTTGCAGTAGGAGTCACTCTTTATAAAGGAAAAAAGAACAAATGCAGACATTTAAATCTCGTTTTTCCTCCATCAGGTGAAGACAGAAAACCATCTCCATGAACGAACCCCTGGATTTTTTTTTGTTTCGTCACGTTTCAGTTTACATTTAATCCAACAAGACTTTGCAAAAATATCTCTTAAGCTGAATATTTAACTGTGAAATTTAAATTTGATGAAATCTGCCAATAAATTGAATTAATCCTGTACTGCTAATGACTATTCCTTGGACTTCACCAACTCCACAACTTTTTGGAAAGATGTATTCTTTAATAAAGTCGTTAACAAAAGAGAAATAACTGGCATGGAATGGCATGTGGCAACAACATACATGCTTTATGCAAATCTGTTACGTGACCAGGAAGAGACATTAGTTTGTATTGTTCTGCGTCATCAGTAACATTTTTCTGGCCCCGTGGACCAGAACAGAAAGCAAGTGAAGCTGGCTCAGTAGGACGAGCTGCTGCGACACTACATACAGTACTTCAGTTTGAGAATATGAACGAACACATTCAGCATGGACAAATACATAAACATGTGCTGCGCTTTTAGTTTTAATTTCTCTATATGCAACGGTGCGCATTAACGGTGGCATCGCAAGCTGCGTGGATGTACAAAAAAAATACTGATACAGTCAGAGGACTAATGTTCATTGGGCTCAAAAGGATTTCCTTAGATTTCATTTTCCAGCATTCGAGCTAAAGTCTGTAGCGACGGAGTCCCGGTGGCGTCACAGGACATTCTCAGCCTAAAGTTTGGCGGCCAGGGGGTCGCCAGCTTTACCGACGTGCTGATGAGGAACCTCAGTGGAGGCTACAGCCACTGCTGAGGTCAGTTACTGTGTCACCTTAGGGCGATTTCAGTTTCTTTGTTCGAAGAGAAACTCCATTCTCAGCTTTAAGAACTCCATTTTCATGGTGACCAACTGGTTGGGAGACACAGAAGGGAGAAGTCAGAACATTGAACAGTCAGTGAGAGCAAATCAAATGCAAAGTCCACAGGAAGTTCTGAAGCCCGTTTGAGCGAGAGGTAAAACTCACAGGAGTCTCTCTTTAGAGGCCGTACGGGTTGTTTTGTGGTGGCCTTCTTACGGACGGCCTGTTCATGTCTGAACTCCCTCCAGCGCCTCAACTGGAAGCGGATGAACTTCCAGAGGAGCCAAGATTGAGTCAAGCACACGAGGAGTAGAACTGTCATTCTGAAGACATCCGAGGCGAAAAGATTAGTGCCCTCATTTATAAACAAATGATCAGCTAAATGATAGAGTTGACTTTAACGTTGTGTCTTTAAAACAGGCCTCGAACGATACACTGACTGCTCATGTCGTAGTTCGGCAGCTTATTTTACTTTGTTTATAGTTGCCAAAGAAGTAAATGAGTTGAAATGGAACAAAAACTACATGTAAATTATTAAAGGAGTGTTGGAACAACTAAACTTTGTTAAAGAAGATGAAACTGAGTTGTTAAAGTTAAAACAATGAGAATAAAAGCTAAAATTTGTTTAACAAAACATCAAAACCAGCAAAACGGTAGCTGAAAGCTAAAAACAGGAGACCAGTAACTAAAAGATAAAACATACAAACAATAGCTGAAAGCTAAAGACATATTAACAACAGCTAAAGGCTTCAACCAACAAAACGGTAGCTGAAAGCTATCAACAGGAGAACAGTAGCTAAAAACTAAAAACATAAAAACAATAGCTAAAGGCTCCAACCAGAAAAACAGTAGCTGAAAGCTAAAGACATTAACAATAGCTAAAGGCTTCAACCAACAAAACGGTAGCTGAAAGCTAAAAACAGAACAGTAGCTAAAAGCTAAAACATTAACAATAGCTAAAGGCTTTAACCAACAAAATGGTAGCTGAAAGCTATCAACAGGAGAACAGTAGCTAAAAGCTAAAACATAATAACAATAGCTAAAGTTTCCAACCAGCAAAACAGTAGCTGAAAGCTAAAAAACAGGAGAACAGTAGCTAAAAGCTAAAACATAACAATAGCAAAAGGTTACAACCAGCAAAACAGTAACTAAAAGCTAAAACATATTAACAACAGCTAAAGACTCCAACCAGCAAAACAGTAGCTGAAAACAAAAAATAGCAAAAAAATAGCTAAAATCAGCAGATTTGTAGTGAAGAGGTAAGTAAGCATGGTAACACAAAAGATGGAGGCCACAATTAGCAAAACTGTAGCCAAAACCAAACAGCCAAAACAGCTAAAAACTATTGGCAAATAGTAGCTATAAAAAAATTAAAAAATTCAGAACAGCAGCTAAAAGCCAAAAATGTGCTGAAGTAACATTTACGGAGCAAAGAATAGATCTGTGCATTTTCTTGGGGGAAAAACATGCATCAAAAGTCCTAGCTGAAATGTCCTGAATTAACTAAATGGTTTGATACCAGAAAGGCTGAAATAGCCGAGGCCATAATTAACTGAGTTTTATTTTAATATTCTTCCTTTTTTTTGCAAATCGTAATTCCTGGCTAGATTCAAAATGGAACAGAATTTCACACTTCATGGCCTCACCTTATCAGAACGGTGTTGAAGTTGCCCATCTCCAAGTCCAGCCCCTGATTCTCAGCACGGGCCAAACCAAAACCCACAGCGAGGAACATCAGGGTGAGCGTGACCATCCGCGTAAACACGAAGCTCACCGCCCACATATCAAACCTGACACGGAACAGGAACACGTCACCTTGGCACGCTTTATCTCGTGGACTAACACAAGTTTATATACAAGGCTGAAAATACATACATTTTCTGATGTCCCTCATCAGTGAAATACAAGAGTCTGGCGATGTGGAAGCCCAGTTCTGACACATACTGGAGGAAGAGTAGTACCAGACCCACACGAGTCAAACTGCACGCGCAGGAGGAGCGAAGCCACAGAGTAGGTGGAAAACAAAGACGTGCAGCAGATTTAGAACACCACAAACTGACTGAGACTGTTGGATTTATCTTGGCAACTCTCTTCTCACTGACTGAGGGCCTTACTTTAACAAATAGGCTGCAGAGATGTGCAGCAGATAAAGGCTGATGTATTGGAGCTGACGAGGAGTCTCCTCCTGGAAAATAAAACAAAAGAAGCATTTTTATCATTGAAGAAAAAACAAAATCAGATTCTCAAACATTTCTCAGTCTGTCTGATGCATGTGCAGAATTTACACTGGTGCTCCGAAGGTCCAAGTATAAACAGAGCTTATCTAGTTGCACTTAAAAAGTATGTCTCCAGTTTCCCAGGGCCTCCCGACTGACCTTGCGTACTTTCTGGAAGTAGAGCTCCGGCAAAGCGTGGAGCCAGTATGCCAGCTGAGTGAGGTAGAAAAATTTCACCTGAAATCTGGAGCACGAATCGACAAAGAGACAAAAGCATGAAATAAATAGGATGCTGCAATGTGCACGCTAGGAAGACTTGGTTTGTCCCCCTTCTACATGTTTTTTTTTTTTTAATAGAAAAATGTCACTCTCTTGGCTTTGCTACATCCTTTGTTTCCTTTGGGAAAAAAAAAGTCCAAAAAGTAATCAACATCTCTCAGCTTTATAAAAAGGAAACCAACACATCTAATGTTTCCCTTTAACATTCAGTCAGAATGTAAGCACGGCAAACACTTTATAGGTTTTGATGCCACATTTCTTTGTACAGGGCACAGTGTATAAATTATAGACAAATAGCAATTGGAGAGGTTTTGAAGAAGCAATGCGAAAAAATATCAAGAGCAGTAAAATCTAGGTGATCACATGACCCTTTAAACATCAGTTTTAAATTACATACAGAATGGATTGATTACTCACTTCCTGATTTGGTTATTTTTATGCAACAAATTATATATGAGGCTTATTAAAAGATCGTGCTTTGGGTTTAAATAAACTCCTTCACAACATGAACCCAGTGTCACACAGCCGCACGCCTCAAAGACCGAAGAATCCTTAACACAGAAAACACCAGGCTTGTCACGATAATAAATTTTGCTGGACGATTAATTGTCTCAGAAATTATTGCGATAAACGATAATATTGTTAGAATTTTGACAATAATTAGTAATCACTGTCAAATTTAAGAAGAAATGTTGGTTACTTTGTTTTGAGCCACCGGATGGCAGTACAAGACTGTCTGAACCGAAGGATGGATAGTGAGGGAGCGAGCAGCGTGTCACTTTAAGAAAAATGGGAGGAAGGCCCCTTGACATTCCTGTTTTTTGGTTCTCAAAAAGGCAGATGCTCGGTGTGGTTTGAGCTCTTTAGCATTTTTCACACAAAGCTTTTAATTTTTTATTTTTTTTTTAATCAATAAGCAAGTTCTCAGCTTCTTTTTGCAGAGAAAAACAAGTTTTACACGAAGGGACAAGTTTCAGCCGTGGATCTTGTAGCTTCGACAAGACTGAGGCTTTTATCCGAGGTCGGCCTGTTAGCTTAGCTTCTCAGCTTAGCTGCTTTTAACGATTCAAAAATGTGACTTTGGACGGTTAAATTAATTTTAAAGAGAAAGGGAGGGGTCAGTGAAGAACACTGGAGTTGAGCCTTTAGTCATCCAGTGTCTTCAGTGGAAAGAGAGACACACGAAGAAACGATAAAGCTGATAAATGACAATGAGGTCGATAATTTTCATTCATCGTGCGATTAATTGATTTATTGTTTATCGCAACAGGTCTAAAAAAAAGACTAAAAAATAAGTTTTTTTGTATCGTTTCCACCGTGCTACATCCAGTCAGGTATTTTTAACCGTCACTTACTGGAAACAGGTAAAGAAATAAAATGCAACTGCAATAAATAATTTTTACCCATCGTTAAAATGCACAACTTTAAAATCTTTACATTCAGTTGTTAGGATGTAAACTAATGCTTAGGTTTGTAATGACCTAATGGAACCAAAAAAAAACAACAAAAAAACATTACTGATCCTCGTTTTTCTCATCTTAAAAACACTTGACATTTTAGAGTACACGCCAAATACAAGTAAAGGTCAAAGGTCGTGTATTTACCACATGTAGCCTTTGGCAGGAGACACTTTGGATATTCCAGCAGAAGTTCCAAAGGCTTTCTGACGAAGATATTTACTGCTTTTGATTAACTGTAATCTGGTCATTTGAATTCCCTAACCTGACTAATCTAATCACAAAAACTGGACTCTTTTTAAAGCTTTAGAGAAAAAGGCTGCTGTTGTTTCAGTCAGCAGTTAAAGAGGTCTGTTAATCAGCAGGACTCCAGAGTGACTGAAACAACTGAAAGCATTAATAAACAAAATGTCGGGGCACTGATCTGCAATGAATTTATTACACTGAAGCTTTGACGTGAAAAAAAGTAAAAATGGATGAAAACATGAAACTGTTCGAGTGTTCGTTACTGCTCACTGTACCTGAGATGTGAATGAGGGTAGTTCTCCCAAAGGCTGCTGGGATGCAGAAGATACCCTTCCTGTAAGAAGATAATAGAAAAGAATTGTATTTCTGTTCTTGAATCTGTGAACAGGAAGTGATCGCTGAGAAACAGCACGAGGATTAAAATCTCACTCACGGTTATGAGGATGTAGAAACTCCACACACTCGACACCAAGTGAAACACACACAGCTGGCCTGACTCATTAAACTTGGTATTCTTGCTCTTGGAAAGGTGAAGACGTCGGTTCACTTTCTGTGACGGGAACAATAAAACAGATCATGAGACACTCGAGCCTACAGTAAAAGCTGACGAAGTTACTGTTACACACAAGGAAATGACACTGAAATAACAGTAAGTAGGACAAGAAGAGAGCAGATACTGTTTCTAGCTGCTGAGAAAAATCCTGAACTAAAGACGGACTCCTTTCAAGACTCAGGTTCTCAAACTTTTTGGGTTCAGGGACCCCCTCATAACCCTCATGTTTATTAAAAAATTTTCTTCAATTTGTCTCTTTAATCCGATGGAAACAGTTGTGTCTTTAATAGTGTTAATACATTTTTTATACTTTTAAACATGGGGTATTTTTCATTCAAGACGCACTTAAATAAAAAAAAATTTAACTTCAACTTCCAAAACTTAGTTTAGAGAAAATGAACAGAATCAAAAACCACTTTTTAAAACTTCACCTATTCACATAATGAATATAAGAAATGATATTTTTATTGATATGATAATAAATAATAAAGCTTTTCTGGTCCCTCGTGTAAATGAGTCATCGAGGCTCAGTGAGATTAACCTGTATAAATAAAGATTGAAAAAAAAAAAAAAAGTGTTGCCATTTCTTCAAATTATTACAGGAAACTACATAAAACTGAACAGAACCACAACAGCAGTAGTCAGACCAAGTAAACACGGCTTCATTTGTAAACCGGTCAATGTCAGAACACTAATAGCAGGTATGCCGGCTGGAGGGGGGCGGGTCCTCCGCCAGAAAATTTTGAATAAAGATGTGATTTCCTGCAGTTTGGTGCATTTTAACGGGTTGTTAAACATCTACATACTTGTAGATTTTTTTTAAAATGTTTTTTTTTTTTGTGTTTTGTTTTTTGTGGAAACCCAAGCACCGGCTCATGGACCCCCAGTGTCCACGGTAGAGTTGCACTCGGGTCTAAATAATCTGATCCGACCTCCAGCCCGCAGCCATCATCTCCGAACCCCACCTGATCCGACGAATTAACAGTAATTACAGGTCCGAACCCGAAAAAACACAACATTTTTAATTAAGCTTTGCTACACCACTGACTATGGCGGACACGTGCGGCTGAGTAAAGGGGGCAGAAGATCGGAGCAGAGGAGCCCTCAAAGCGCATTAAATGCTTCCCCTGCATCCTGCTCCGACATGTCGGATATTTTGTGATCTCACCCGTTTCGGTCGTTGGCCGCGTGCGTCCGCTGAGTTCAGCAGCTGAATGAACGTCCATTTGGGCTGATGGGTCACTGGCAGTAGTCCATCTGAAGCTTAAATTAACTTTTTACCTCTTTCAACCGGCTGGTCAGCGCACGGTCAAATGGCCACGTGCAGCAGGTGATTGTATGGCAAGCCATGTTGGCGCATAATTGGATTGTCGGCCCTGACGCAATAACAAGCCCGACACCAACCCGGTCGCACATTAAGAGTATTATTATAGACCGGCCTAATCCGAACCCGGGTCGGGCAGGGCCAGACGCTGGGTTAGAAATGACAGCTCTAGTCCAGGGACCCGTTTCAGAACCACTGCTCTAAAAGCATGAAAACCATCCTTAAAGAACACACTCCTTCAAACAACCACTCAAACACATAAAATTATAGACACATTTATGTCCGCATGAATATATTTTTTAGTCGTTTTAAAAACTAGTTTTGAAACTATCTTTGTATGCAGCACGACTCAAACTGACCCCAACCCCCTATTCATTTGAATGCAAAAGCCGAGGAGGTGAAACCGCTCACATCCTGGTTTCAGTGGACAGAATATATTTTCATCACCATCTGAATAACGTACAGTAACAGCCATCTTGAATCAGGTTGTCTTCAAACATGGATCAGCTGTCCATTCAATAATTACTTTCAGTTTCTTTGAAATCTGTCCACTGATTTGTGATATATTTTGCGAACACTGCAGACAAACGAAGACAAAACCATCATTCTTCCTCAGCAGCGGGTGATAAAAGTAAAACTTGTCGGTCTTTTCACATGAAAAGGGGATTAAGTTTTTCTTTGCAACATTTGTGACAAATTTCTTTCAACGTTTCTGAAGCTAATCAAGTCTTCCGCTCATTTATCAATAATTTGTGAGCAACGTACATTTTCTGCAAACACCAATGTAATTCAAGTCATGTGACGTTCCAACCCTTTTGATAAACTGCTGTACTGTGGGAGAGAGAGATAAGGGTCTTACATCCAGGAGGTACTCCTGCACCACAGCGTGGAGGATGATGGCGATGAAGAAGTAGAAGAGGATGGTGGCACAGTCCTTCCATCCGTATTGATACGTAGTCACCTCTTTCTCTAAGCACACAGGGGAGGGGTGAAAACATGCTGAGCACACGCTGCGAGCACCTTTGTTAAACATCCTGGTGAAACGTGGATTGTTTTCATACGACCAGTATTGAAACAGTAATGTGGTGGCACAATGTTCAGTAAAAACAGAAGTGAAACTTTATACTTTAAGAGCCAGAAATCAAGAACTCCGCTCTGAATTAGCATCAGTAACACAAGCGGTGCCGCTTCGTACCTGGTGTTAATGTGGTGACGTTGTACTGAGGCTGAATGAACAGTATGGCTGTCTTTGCCGTTGCCTGGAAATAAAACAAGAAAAACGAAGAGTTTTGTGATTTTCTCCCTAAACAGGTTTCAAAATATTTAATTCAGTATTTTAGATTATTGCAGGATATATTATAGGAAATATGGTCAAAGGAACCAGATTCCTAAAGCTGTGCTGTTTGAATGGGAATGAATTGACCGCTTGCTACTGGTTACACGTTGTACGTGCAACAGTAAAATAACTACAGGGAGACATTCATCAATTGGACAGTTTTCTTTAAGTTGTTTTATTTACAAATGAGGAGGTAAAACTGGCCAGCAATTAATGTATATTCAATTGTTTACCGCCAATTCACAAGTCATCTGAGGCCACTGTGCACTACTACTAACACTTACTTTATATTTTTGGCTTTGATTTTAAAATGCGAATTGCAAATATTTCTATGAATAGATTTCCTTAAAAAACATCTTAATCCTTTCCCAATTTAAATGATGTACTCTGAAATGCATTGTTATATTTTAACGAATTGATGCATGTAAACTTTCAATTAATTTTTTTTTTAAATTAAATGCGAATGGAAATAAATTCAGCTGGCGGGGGGGCTTTTTTACCAATCAGTGCCCAGGACCCCTTTAAAATGTTAACGAGTCCGTGATCAGAACATAAAATCAAAAGCAGAAAACGGTCACGTTTAGAACTTTAAAGTAATCTAATTTGTTTTAATTCATTCGTTGTGGTTGTTTTTTGTCAGATGTTGGTGTTTTTCAGACCATAAAGTTTATTTTTGTTGAAATACATAAGTAATAGCCCATGAGTTCTCATGCAAGACTAAAGTTGGTCACTTTTTATTCAGTTTGCTCAGACTGTGGCCTGATACTAAACCTCAAATGGAAGTTTAAGTTTATTACACTGTTGTTCCCTTTTTCAGACACCAAGTGGGGACAAAAAATGAAGGGAATGATTATGTTTCCCCACGATCAGCTGTGTCAGGTTTCCGGATTGAAACTTTAAATGTCCACGCGGGGTGGACTTAAAGATCACAGTTCTTCAAATAAATTCTTAACTAACTCAAACACTAAATGTTAGTGATGAAGGTGCTTCTGGTCAGAGCTGTCCAAATGCAAAGCTGAACCCACAAGCGGCCAGAAGCTGCTCAAAGATTGAGACGTGGCAGTTATCTCTTATGGCGTCATGCTCGCAACCAACAGTAAAACCGTTTCCGTTTCACCGTTTCAAAATAAAACTACAACGTAGGGAATGTGCGGCAAATTCATAGACGTATAAAAGGTAAAGCTTTTATTTTGAATCTACGAGAAATCTTCACTTCCTCTGATTTTCCGCTACAAAAACCAAACAAACAAAAAAAAGGTTGGAATTAAAATAGCAGCGGGCAGTTAGTTGGAAACAAAATTTGGGGAAATGAACAAAAAGTGATGGTTAAACAAGAGGGAGAAAGAAGTTAAACTAAATAAAATACTTCAGTTGAACACAGGTCTGTGCCAGCAGGAAGGAATGCTCCCGATGTACCCTTAATGAAAAACTCTTGAGAGGCGCCAAATATTGTATTTTGGAATGTAGCAGACGTAAAAAAAAATATTCTGCATGAGCGTTGCAGCTTTGGTTTGCATCTCTAAAAAAACGGTTTAAATCAGTGTCGCTACTCGCTGATCTGGAACAATCACTGTTCGTTCACAAAAGTTGGGAAAAAAAATGTAGCAAACATGATGAAGTTTGATTTCCTCACAACAGATTAAAACAAATCTCAGAAGAGGTCAAACAAGTAAACGTGCATGTACTGTCAGACTGGAGGCTTTACAAGTTAAATCAGTGTAGAAGTAACAAGACGTAAAAACAGCTGAGACCAGAGAAAGGAGAAGAAGAAAAAAAAAAAGAATCAAGAGTTCATCTCACCTCGAACATCAACCCAATCAAAATGAAAATCACCAAACTGAACACGATGTCGGCATGGTTCTGAATGAGGAACTCCTGGCTGAAGAAAGGGTAACTCTTGTTTCTTCGGCGGAACGCCATGTCAAACTCTGTGATTTTATTAATCAGAAACTCTGCCTACGAAGTTCGGAGTTAACTTTCTCGGGGGATGTGCGCATGCGCGCCGTCTTAAAGGGCGCGTGACATAAATACCTTTAAGGCCATTTAACAGTTTCCGTTCGTCGTGTCTCGACAAGTAGTGGAAGGTAATTAATGTACACCGTTTCTCCTCGAGTACAACACTGAGTTCTTATATTTTATTACGTGGTTGCAATGTTTGATATAATTCAAATTCTGAACATTTATGTGATTTTTTTTTTTTTTTACTTTTCTCAATGCTACTTTTCATTTTAGCTAGCCTGTTGTCAAATGTCCATTTAGCTCAGGGGTGTCCAAAGTGCGGCTCGTGGGCCATTTGCGGCCCTTGGAGGGATTTTGTGTGGCCCACAGCTGCAGTTTCAGCATGTTATAATTTTATAGAACAGTGAGATGCTCAAAATTAAATAAAGCATTATGAAATAAGAAAAAAAAAACTTTATTCTTTTATTTCATAATGCTGTTTTTCATGGCTTATTTATGTCATAATTGTATTTTTCACGATAGCTTATTTATTTCATAATGACTCTTTTCAGCAGAATGGCTTCAGCTGTCAATCAACGTCAGTGGGTTGGACCTTCTCGCCCACTGGCTGATTATGAAAAAATAAGCCATTATGAAAAACACAATTATGAAATAATTAAGCCATGGAAACAGCATTATGAAATTAATAAGCCATTTTTCTTATTTCATGTTTAATTTATTTATTTAATTTTGAGCATCTCGGTGTTCCATATCATTTTGACCAGCAGACTTAAGAGGCCAATGCAGACTTTCTGCAAATGCATTGGTAGTCCTTGTTGATGATGTTTAGGTTTAACAGCAATACAGATGATTTTTTTTTTCTCAAAATGAGCAATTTTAAGCAAAATACAAATTTTGGCTGTTGTGAATTTTATATTTTTTGTTCAAGCACCACAAACCTTTACAGCCTCCTATCAAAAAGGAGACTTTTGGATAATTGTTCATAAAACGTGGCTAAAATATAAAAAAAATGCAGTTGATATTTAACCAACAGAGAGAAATTGGACATTTTTAATTAATATAAAGTGGAATCATCTACATACCAGTTGATCAACTTTATCAGTGTCCCTTCAAACCTTCTATGAATCTGTTTTAGCGAAGGATGATTTTTCAGAACAACCTTTTGGGACGTCCATGGTCCAAAAGGCTGATCAACCTCCTTTTTAAAAGACACACTCATATTACGCTTTTATTGCTGAGAGCAGACTAAAAATGAACTCTCCAAGCACAAGAAAACAACAAACACAGTCACAACAAATCAAATAAATTAAATCATTTTTAATAAAAATATAAAGTTAGTGTTTAGGAGACTTTTAATGTTTTGGATCCACAACATTTTAAAACTTTCTCCACCAAAATTGGTCACCTTTTGTACTTTTTCCTAAATATTGTTGGCGTTGAGAGTTAAATTCACATTTTTGTGGCCCACAAATCCTTTCCTTGTGATAGTTTTGGTACAGATATGAAAAAGTTTGAGCTAATCGAGAGGTTTAGAAGTAGCTTTTAATCAATTTGACCGATTAAAATTTAACTTGGATTAAAGAAACGCACACATTAAATTCACTCACCCAAACATGTAGGCTGTTTTATTGCTATTTTCATGCCATCCTTGCAAGTTAACAGTTCAAATCGTCACCTGACTGCACCATCACTCACTAGTTTCACAGCTTTTGTAGTATTTTCACCCATGTTCCAGAACAGCGAAACAGTCTTTTGAAATGGCAATCGGAAAAAGATTTGTTCAAAAGTCGCCATAAATATAGCATAAACCCCCCCCCCCATCTTGTAATCACAGTAGACATTTAAAATTGTTTCTGAAGTTAATGCCTGAGACATTATTGTTTCTTTTCCAAAATAAAATTATTTTCACAAGTTCTTTAGCAATTACATGATCAACATGTAAAAAAATCAAAGTTGAAACATCACAGTTTTCCTAAAATAAAACACTAGCCTTGCTCAAAGCAATGACGTTTAACATCATACATGAAATACAGCTTATTAAAATCAGAAAGCTGAAGTATTTTCACATATTGTTTGATAATAATAATAATGAAAAAACTCACAGCATCACAGCAAGAGAGATATGATACAGAAGATATTTGTGCTTTTTAAATAGCCAAAAAGCTCTGGCTTACGTTGCGATGCTTTCAAAGTTAAGACACTGTTAGCTTTGGAAATAAGTTTATATCACTACAGTTATTACAATACCACAAATAAACAACTGTTTCATTTATATTAAAAAAAAGACCATGAGTTGTTTGAGGTTAGAAAGCTGCAATATATTTCTATTTTTTTAAAATACATTTTCTAAAGACTTCTTCTATATTACGTTGTCATCTGAACAGCGTTTACTGTTGCACAGCATAATTCCAAATTTAAGACATATTGCTGCTAAAAATGGCATAGATATATATTGAAAGTCAGGGAAAAGGTCTTTCTGAGCTTCATCCGCCATTCTTCTAGCACTTCAACTTTCCTGTTGATGTCCAGAGGCAATATGTCTCATAATATTACCTCTGGGTGTGAAGCCTTTATGTAAAGCAGTGCATTTAGACAATGGTTTATGGTTTGAGAGATTATTTTGGGGGTGCCATGTTGTGCATTTATTAAATTATATTTGGAAATAAGGAGGGGTGGCACAGTAGCTCAGTTGGTAGAGCGGTCGCCTCTCAGCGAGAAGGTCGCCGGATCAAATCCTGACCGGGGACCTTTCTGGGTGAAGTTTGCATGTTCTCTCCGTGCATTCGTGGGTTTTCTCCGGTTACTCCGGTTTCCCCCTGCAGACCAAAATCATGCATGTTAGGCTGATTGGTAACTCTAAATTGTCCCTAGGTGTGAGTGAGAGAGTGAATGGTTGTTTGTCTTGTTTTTCCTCTATGTGTTCCTGTGTCTTCTGTCCAGGGTGTCCCCTGCCTCTCGCACAGTGACTGCTGGACATGGGCACCAGTGATCCCCACAACCCGAAAAGGAAGAAGAAGGTAAAGATAATGGATGGATGGGAAATATGGCGATGAAATAACAAGATGTTATCTACCAAGTTTTTGCAGGTGATAAAGCTTCTGTGCTCTGTGAATGACGGATAGGCTGCTGTTGACTTGTTCCCTGATTCTGTTGTAAGATGGCTAGAAGTTGTCACCTTCATCTCTGTGGGACATTATGAGCTGCCTCCTTGGGCCTGTAAGATGAGGAACACTGGAGGAAGAATCCAGCACTCCAGAGTCCAGCTTAGGAGTGGAAATGCAGCGCGGTCCAACACGGCCCATGAGTATGCGCACATCCCTGTGAAGGGCAGGATCACTTGGGATGGAGTTGAGCCGAACCCCGTATTCAAAACCCCCAACGTCCTGGTCCAAATGGGGGTTACTACCGCTACTGGGCGACTGCGGGTCAGCGCTGAAGTATAAGGTGGAACTTGATTCTGTGGGGCAGAAATACGGTTCTGGACTGTCTCCGAAGACAGACTTGCCCTCTGGGGAGCTGCGTTTGAAATCTGATGTTGGCGACTCCATTGGGCTCTCCATCTCCAGACTGTCGTATTCTTCTTCAGGCGGTTCAGTGGATGTGGGTTCACTTAAGCTCTGGAACTCATCTTTGCAGTCTGAGAGAGGAGCCAGGCCCTTTCCCTGCGACTCTGAAGTGGAGACACCCTCACAGCTGCCTGCAGCTGTATAAGTGATGCCCTCGTTACTTTTAAACTCCTGGTTGTATTCCTCCATGTCCAGTATGGCAGCTGGTCCCCCAGCTCCATACGCCCTGTTGATTTTATTGAGATCTCCAGTCTTCAGGGCTAGGCGAATCAGGAGCCAGTGATGATGGAAGCAGGGACAGGAGCTGTTTGAGTGATCTCCACAGTTTCCAGGGTGCTCCAGCAGAGAACCTGCCACACCAGAGAGGGAGAAGCTGCCGTGGTTTTGAATGGAAGAAGCTGGCAAACTTTTATCTCCGAGAGAAAAGGAGGACTCCCCTTGTTCTATGCATGTGCTGCCCATGTGGTGACGGTTCAAACCATGGGAGATCTCTGTGGACTTTGGATGGAGAAACCGGTAGTACAGAACCAGAGAAGTGGCCCCTGAAAGACACAAATAAAAAATAATTAGCGTCTCTTTTTCCCACAAGTTTAAGATGCTTCAGAAAACAGATCTGCTATGCTTTGAACAATTAACTGACATGTATTATTTATAGTCCAACAATCTAATTCATGATGTAGTTTTACTAAGAATTATTTTAACCTTTGTGAATCCCCCCTGGTGGTTTTGTCACTCAGATTTCACAGAAATGATTAGATGTGCTAACACTGTTCTAATTATTACAAGAATCAGAGTAGGTTCTACTTTCACACAAACACTGCAGTCAGAATGACTCACCGAGGAGAAAGCTGCACAGCACAGAGGTGGGAAGGGTCATGCTGTCCCATGATGCTTCACTCAGGAAGTCGGAGGCAGCCAGCAGCAGAGTGGCGTTCTCCACAAGCATGAACTAAAGTCAGAGAGAAGGTGACACCATCAGTCATCTGGAAACAGTTTTACGTCACCGCAAGTTGAGGACACAAAGGTGAGGGTGATGCTGCAAAGTTGCTGGTGTAGCTATACATACGCAGGTGTGACGAAGTACTACACGGATTGCGAAACAATTTTCTGAAAATATTAATGAGTAGATTTTATTTTGAAGTCATGTCTTACTGAGTAGAAGCTAGCCATGCGAAAGCGTGAGGGTCCATCTTTGACGTTCAGGAAGAGGAAGACGTGGATGAGCCCCAGGACGCTATTAAAGGTTCGCCAACGCCAGTGTCCAGTGCAAATGTCTGGCTGCTGCGATACCAGCCAGAAGGAGGCTGTGAGCCAGTGAAAACCTAGCGGTCAATAGAAAAATAGAAGGTCCAGTCAATGATTCATATTCAAGTTATTGAACAGATGCAGAGGAGTGACTGAAAGCTCACACTGCAGAACTCTAGAGAAACTTATATCATTCCTTTTTTTTAAATTTATGACTAAAACTTCAAACTTTAAACAAATTTTAATTAGGAGTGTTGAGAAATATGAGATGTTTCCTACCCGGTTCTAATTCAAGCAGCTTGCTATTTTTCTACATCAAGAAAACTCTATAAGAATAAAAGGGTTTCCCCATGCTCACCTGCTACTCCACAGACCCACCAGTTAAAGACCCGGGCAAAGAACATGAGGCAGGTCACCCTAGCCCCCAACATGCCCACTCTCCAGACCAGCTGGCACAGCAGGGCTGCTGGAGGCATGGCTAAGTGTCCTGGTCGTATCAAACAACAGGCTCGGCTGTACAGCACCAGGGCCCAGGAAACAGACAGCACACATAATCCACAGCAATAGGCCACTGAAGATAAAAAAACATGAAAAACGTATAATTAGACTTTACGTCCCATTCAAACACTAATTACAGCTTGCCATTGAAATGACTGTTAAGTTTACCTGGTGATCCAATGCCCACATCAGTCGACACCACGATGTATGCTTGCAGAAGGCTCTGAGGAAGCGTAACAAAAAGGGCCTCTAGTAGCCAAAGGGCAGCAACATCTGCCTGCTGCATGACCGCTACCCCAAGTTCTGCCACTGAGCCTTGCATGCGAAACACTGACCTCATGCAGTCCCACAACCTGCCACAAGAGGAAGGCAGAGACAAACACCTGAGAAATGATGGAATGATGTGAAAACAATTGCTCCCATCTCCTCTGGTAAAAACCCTAAATATTGCCAATAAATACTCAGTGAATTAAATACTTCCTTACTTATCTGTCTGTAGGCACGAGGTTCATACCTTTTGAAGATGCCCAGGTGTAATATGTGTATGACAGAGAGGTAGCACCGCCTGTCGTCACCGTCTTCATAGTACCATTTTACACTCAGCAGCTGAACTGCTGTCCCCGGTAGGAAGAGGCCGAGTGTAAAGGCTGCCCAATGCGTCTCCTCGTTCCAAAGGTAAAATCCTATACAGTAGATCACTGACACACACACACACACAAAGAGCAGACATGCAGATTGGTGTCATAATTTAGTGTAATAATGATGTTGAATATAATGTGTCCAAACAGTCTGACTTAACATAAAGTCATTATGCTTCTAATTAAATTCAATTCAGTTTATTTATATAGCGCCAAGTTACAACAGAAGTCACATCAGGACACTGAACAGAAACATTCATTTACATAAAAACTAGTTAACATTATTAATCTGAGGAGCAGACTGCTTTGACTCTCATCTTGAGCAAGCATGAAGGCAACAGTGTAAAGGAAAAACTCCCTCATGAGGAAGAAACCTTTAACAGAACCAGGCTCAGGACAAATGGCCATCTACTTCGACCGGCTGGGTTTGAGAGGAACAGGAAGGAGGAACAGATACACAATGGCAGGTCGAGAATCACGTCTAGATAGAAATAATATCAAATGAAAATTATTCAATTTTAACAATTCATTAAAAAAACAGGTCAGTTTGTCCTCCAATAGTCTAAGCTTATAGCAGCATAACAAGCCAACCCTAACTACAGGATTTATTATAAAGGAAAGTTTTAAGCCCAGTCTTAAAACTGGACAATGTGTCAGCCCTATGGACAGTCTGGAAGTTGGGTCCACAAGAGAGGAGCCTGATAACCGAAATATCTTCCTCCCATTCTGCCTTTGGAAACTCTAGGGGCTGCGAGTAAACCTGCAGTCTGAGAGCGAAGTGCTCTGTCAGCAAAATATGGGACAATAAGATCTCTAATATAAGATTTTATTTATTTACCCTTTATTTTTACTGGTAGTCTCATTGAATCATGAGGTCATTTTCAAGAGAGACCTGTTTGGGAGCACATGTGGGGGTTAAGGGCCTTGCTCAAGGGCCCAGAGTGGAGCAAGTGAGGGTGAAGGCAGGAGTGGGTGTTTCACCTTTTCCACCCACATTTTGATGTTGTCAGTCTGGGGAGTTGAACTTGTGACTTTCTGATCACAGGCCCATCTTCTCTAACCTCTGCGCCACCACTCCCCGGTGAAGATGGAGCTAGGTTGTTGAGAGCTTTGTAGGTTAGAAGTAAGATTTTGAATTCAATTCAGGACTTGACAGGGAGCCACTGGTGAGAAGCTAAAACTGGAGGGATATGATCTCTCCCACTAACTCCAGTTAAGACTCTGGCAGCAATTAACTGAAGACTTTTTAACAAACAACAAAGTCCATGCTCAATAATCCAGGTATACAATCCAACATTTTTCAGTCAGGTCATCTGGACAGTTTCTTTTTTTTTGTGCTGAAACGTTTCGCTTTCAATCCAGAAGGCTTCATCAGTCAAGGAAACGCACAACAAAACTGATTCTTCCCCCAACAGCTTACTCCAAACTTTTTAACAACATTTTTGGACACCCAGATAACTTTTAAACTTAACTTTTAAAACCTGCAGTTGTTTGCTGGCAACTGCAGGGGCTGTCGGAGTCCTTGAGGAAATAAAGAGCATATACTGTACGTATAGATCTTCCACAAATTAATATACTTTAAGTTTAAAAGGTACTCAATACTAACAAATCAGTCAAAGTTAATCAGGTCCTCTGGAAGGATGAAAAAAGTAAAAACCAAAATAAAAAACAAAAAAAAAACTGTTGAAATGTTTTGTCTTTAATCCAAAATACTTTGTTGGTCTGAGGAGCTCAGTCTTATAAATAGCACCTTCTCATAGTGGATCAACCAGTTTGTTGCCGACATTCAAAACTTGCTGTTCACATGATAAAGGCGGACCATCAGCCTAACGACCTGATGGCCGCTTGCTATTCACAGGGGTCTGAGTGAAACTAGCAATAACAGCATTGTAAGAGGGCGACAGTTGAACACGGAGGCCTCCGCCCCGTTTAATGATGGACGGTTTTGTTTCCTTTACTCCTCTCTATCAAGGATGTGAACATCTTCATCCCTGAAAGAGAGACCGCTGGCCTGCAGATGAGTGTAGACCGCAGAGTTCTGATCTCATGTTGTTGTTCATAAAAAGTCATAAAAAGGTTATCCTGAACTATGTCAAATGGTGCAGTTTGAAAGAGTTTACTCCAGTAGGTTTCCAGAAACATCAATATGCAATTCTGAAATGTGAGTATGTATTCAATATAAGCAAAGCACTGTATACGACACATCTTTATCTGAATACTCACCAAATCTGAGAGTAAATGTACTAATATGTAAAAAAAAAAAACCATCCCAACTGGCTCTTCCATTGAAGTAGCCATTGTTTTCAGTCACCTATAGGCTCTTTCCGTAGGTAACCCAACATGTGATAGTCAGCACAAATTTTGCTTGCAATTCTTCAATTTAAAAACATATTAACTAATAATTTTGCACATTTTGTTTCTTACTTTGACCTGTCTTTATGACTTTGCATGAAGGCAAACTCCTGGCTTTTGTCATAACCTTTAAATATTCGTTTAGACTTTTTTGGTATGACGCAGATTGAAACGATTGTCTTGTGAAGAAGCCCAGACAGTGTAGAGGACTAACAGCAGCACCATATTTTTATCTTCAGGGAATTGTATACCTGCTGATGACAAAGTCACACTTTGTACACATCCTGACCTTGCCTCATTGATCCACTTACTTGGAGTCTGCTGTACTGTGAGTATTTGTACGTCACTGGTATGAGCTACTAAACATTGTTCTAATATTGAATTCAAAAATATGGAGCTGAGGAAAACATTGAGAAAGCAGAAACTCTACATTACACATATAATACGATCTGATATGGTTAGTGATTAGTTGTTTGGACTATGTGAACCTGATACTGGGGGTCTTGGGGCCCCAGTTTGGCAAGTTCATATTGCAGCTGGTCTTAACAATACCAGTTACATTATATTCACTTACAAAAGCCAGCCTGCTTGTCGCTCCCTGGTAATGGCTGTAAAAGCATCTCTCAAGGGCAAAATCATTTCCCACAGAGCACATGTTACTTTCTTCAAGGCTATGAAACACGTTTGCCCTTCGGTTTCTAATCACAACGTTCAAGCTAGCTTCCCACGGTAGCGCGGGGAGTTCTAATCCCATGCCCACTTACGAGCGCTCCGTTCGGCCGCGAGGACCAGCGCCGACACGCCGAGCAGCGCCGCCTGGCACCAGGCGATCCAGCAGCCGCTCCGCCGGGCCGCCGACGGCATCCTGCGGGCCAGCGGCCCGGAACCAGCGCTTATCATGCCGCGGAACGGTGGCGGAGAACCGGTGACATGATCCTGGGCATCGTTCACTCCGGCGGGTACATCCGCTCCTCTTCCTCTCTCCTCCTCCTCCTCTTCGCCATCCTCTCCCAACCGCTCCGTGACGTCACTGCGCTGTTTTAAAGGGGCATTGATGGGCAGCTGTAACTGTACAGAGCTCATCTTTCTTCCACCGTGGAAATATTATCCCTCCTTTTGTTTCAGAGAAGACCTTGTAAGGTATTTCTCTAATCTGTTTAAATGTCCACCCACCTGCGAGGTCACAGGTTTTTTGTTTAGGACTTCATGCTGCTTTACTCAACCTGTGTTAATTTTCATTCATGGAGAAAACAAACTGCAACAAAGAGCCACAATGTCCTGCAGGAGTTCACAAATGGCTACTGCAAACCTTTTTGTCACCTGAAACCCTTTTTAAGTTGTAATTGAGAAGATGGATGACAGCATATAAAGTTGCAGTGCATTTCTGCGCCTTTGTCAAAGTGGGTTGAGGTATTCTTCGTCAGTCAGTACTATATTAATTTAGTCTGAATTAACCTTGTTTACAAAAAATGTAGCATTCAGTGTTACTGTAAATGAGCAGAACGCCACTTGTTGTTTCCTGATCATAAAGCACCAGTAGAAAACAAGATATCTGTATTAAAAAAGCAGATGGAGATCAAATCTAGTTTAAAAAGCAAAATTTTTTCATTGGATTTCAGCTTCACAACAGATGGGGGCGTCTTTGTCACACATTTTAACTCACCATTCACCACATTATGACCTTACTTGCAAGTAGTATCACTGAGTATCACTCAGCCGTCTGTGAATAGCAAGTGGCCATCAGGTGATGGTCCTCCTTTTACATGTGAACAACTAGTTTGGGCTGTCTCCTGCAAACTGGTTGATCCACTATGAGAAGATGTTTCTTATAAGACTGCAATACATATTTGTAAATCCCTAACGAGTTTCTGAAATTGTTGCATAATTTTGTTAATTCATGTTGCTGCCTGATGCAGGCAACATGTCTGCTTGAATAATACAGAGACTATACGTGCAGCATCTGCTGAATGACTTTACTGACAAAGACAAGTTTTCATCCATGTTGTTTTTCTTCCAGTGTGAAGAGCTGATGACTGGCGGTGCACATCCCGAGCCTTGTAACTCATAACAGGATGTTTATCTGCATCACTTACTCCCCACATTAGCAGAGTGCGCTCACGTAGAGGTAAGCACACATGCCATACACGAACAATTGAGGTTTCCTCTGTGTCGTCACTTTAGCGCTTTGCTCACTGACACCATAAACGAGTCACGCTTGAGCGGTAAATTTTTAATCAGGCAACATAAGACTGGACACAATACGTTTCACACAGTGAAACTTCAAACAGGTTGGTTTTTTATGCATATGTTACAATAAGATGATCTAGAGATAAAAAAAAACCAGCAGAAAATAATAATTATGTATGCTTATTAAAATTTAGATTAAAATTAGCAACTGAATAAATTAACAACAATGTAGACGTTAAATCAGTCGAGCCACTTTGCTCAGGCCGTGCTGCCAAAGTCTTGACTCTTTAAGGTCCCTGTAGAATATATATAGACAATCTATGATTGAGATAAGGCTTTACTTCAAATATGACTGTGACAGACAAATGCTGAGTTGGCCTCTAAGGATCATTTGGTTGGATTGGCAAGTCAGACTTAAGTCTCTGATACGTATCCTGACTCCAGCTTGATGCTTGTTGGTCGCAGGCACACAGGACTGCCATGATGCAGCTGAGCGTCAGCACACTCCTTCACTGATCTGATGCTCAGCTCAGTTTTCCCCCTGGCACCGTCTTGCAGGCTTGAGACTCGAGTCTCTATCTTTTGTATGAGGTCGATGATATTGCCCTTGTCCATCTTCACCTCTGCAGCCATGACTTCAAGCTGCTCTGCGGCTTCACTCAGATCAAACCTCTCTATCTCAGAGTTGATCCGATGCTCCTCTGGTGAGAGCCTGCAGGATGCTGAGGGGGAAAGGGGACAGAAGCCTTGGAGGTGCACTTGTAAGCTGCAATAGTGGAGATAGGCACAGGGGCAGCGAGGACAGCGGTGGGAGCGCTCGCCTGTGTGTAGACGTTTGTGGAGCTTCAAGTGGATAAATTGAGTAAACCGAGCTGGGCAGAGCTTGCACTGGTAGGGCCTCTCACCCGAGTGTAGCCGCTGGTGGGTTTTCAAATTGCTAGTGCTGCTAAATCTCTTATGGCATACCTGTTTTAGAACAAGGCAGAGGGTAATAAATATAATAAATACCACTGTGTCAAGATGAAAGATTTAATATATGCATCTGTAATTCTCTGTTTTTGTGCTAAGTTAAGTTAATGACTGCAAAATTAATTAAATATTTATAGGTATAGCTCATATTTTGAAGGGAAATCACATGCAATACAAGTTTTGAGTTGTGGATATCTTACTTTTTAGTAGGCAGCAGTCAAAGTGATTTCAGTCTGCAGAATTAAGAAGTTTTCACGAGGAAGTCAAGCTAAATGCTACACAGAAAAGGCTAAATTATGAGTGTATTTCTATCATTTAAAACCATTAAAATCTCACAAATATTACAGGATTTCAAATGAACACTCTATTGTACCTTTTTACATGTCAATTTAGTATCAAATGGTTATATAGACGATAATTTTAATGTAAACACTAGTTGGAAAATAGATTGTGTTAAGCATGCCAAGTCCATTAACTATCCGATGCAAAAGTAATCGTGTCAAAATCTTAAGCATCTGTTTGAATGTCAAAATTTGGAAGGTGTGAATTGTTTGACGTATTGAAAATTTTCTTTTAAAGAAGTATGTCTGCTGAGTAATGGTTGGGCTTGACTTGAAGATTTTGAGATTTTCTTTTACCTATTTCTTCAAACTGAAAAGCACTTAGGATGCTGTCTGCCGTTGTCTAAACCAATTATTTAGAAATGCTGCATGCAATATTCTTCAGAAAATCTGAACTATACATTTACCATACAATTCCAAACTGTGTACTGTTCTATAAAAGGTGTAGCCTAACCTTGCACTCATGGGGCTTCTCTCCTGTGTGGACCAAGTAGTGTTTTTGCAGGTGTGCCAGCTGAGTGAAGTCCTTGTTGCAGGTTTGACACCTGAAGGGACGCTCACCACTGTGCACTCGCAGATGGACCTGATAGAATATTACAAACCAATTCTCACAGTATTCTCACAGTTTAATCACAATGAGAAGTTCTGATATGGTGATGACGTACTAACCTTGAGATTGGACAGCTGCCCGAAGACCTTTCCACAAATGTTGCACTCATACCGAATCTTTCCATTCTGCCTGGTGAGAGGGTAAGACAAAGTCTGGTAGCCAATAAACTGTCCTTCTCTCTTTGTCTGTCTGAGGTCCAGTGCATCTTCAGTATTGCCCTGAGTGGTAGAGGTAGATATGGAAGAGGGATAGTTCAAAGAGGCGGCCATGCTCAAAGGTGGTGAACATGACCCAGGTGCAGAAGAGGGTGCTCTGTGGACTTTATGGTCATTGAGTGGAGAGCTGGCCTTGGTAATAGTGAGGTCTGTGTGAACATTACTGCGAGCAGAGTGTTTGAAGTCTCTGAAGTCATTTGAGAAATTTTTGAGGTAGTTTGTCTTTTGTGGAATGAGGTCACTGTTGTCTTTGTGCTCACTAATTGGTGAAAGAAAGAGGTCTTGTTTGGAAATAAATGGTGCAAGTGACAAGTCTTTGTATCCACCTGCCGAAGGATGTAAGAAGTGTGCATAGTTGTCAAAAGGCAGAAAATTGGATGACATGGACAAGTGTGGCTTAAGTTGATCGCCATAGAATGGATGCGAATGTGGTAGAAGGCCAAGTGGGTACTGAGGCAGCAGATAAGGATGCCTAAGAGTAGCATGGACATGATTGGGCATGGAGGCTTCTTGATAAGGTTTGGTTTTGATGGGGTCTTGACTGTGCTGACAGGTGAGGTGCAGACTGGTGGGAGTAGAACCATCTAGTGCTGGACTTTTGGCAACTGCTGAGCTGCAGGATTGCAGAGATGCCAAAGAACCATATCTGTGGCCATGGATAGAATCTGAGTTGGGCTGGATTGGGTAGAAGACACTGGGACATGAAGGGAAAACTGCTGAGATGGTCTGATTTATGGGATTGTCTAGAAGTTTTAAGCATTTAGATTTGGGGGGCTCATCTCGGAGTATCTCAGAGACACTGTGTCCTCTTTTCTCTTTTGTCTTCTCAGAAGGTAGACTCTCTTCTGTCAGAAAAATAGACAAGGCAGAAATTGCATGAGAGATAGGTACAACCATTTTATAAACAGTACAATTCCACTCAGTGGCACATACAACCACAACAATAATGTGATCATCCTCACATTCTTTAATTCATTATCTTTATATGTTTAAAAATACAAGGTTTTGCTAAGGTGATTGTTTGTTTTAGCTTTAAGCATAACATGTGTATCAGGTTTCTAAGATCTTTGAACTCTGAGAAATTGGACACAAGACGTGAAACAATGTGATCAAGACAGAGATAGCATTAAACTAGTAAGTACGGTTTGTTATCTACTGGTACATTAAAGCGCTGGACATTCGTGTGTGCATTTTCTTTAGAAGTGGAGCTGGATACACAGGAAACAGGATACAAAAGACACGTTTTCATCCTAAAGTGACTGATGAACAACTGATTTCACCCAGTTATGAACAGTCATAAAGAATGCTTGATGGTGTGGCAGATAAACTTGTTTCAATTAACCTAGAAACTTATACATTTCCCAGTAAATTCTACACACAGTTTAAGACTCCAACATCTGAATTCAAAGCAGTATCTTATGTGATGTGTGCAAGTGAATATTGTGATGTCTTGAGGACTGGCGTATGGTACTTTAGACTAGATGTGACAGACAAAGACCAAATACTGCCTGTATAATAAAGCCTGTGTATTTAACCTACTTTTGGACACGGTTAACATCAACCCACGTGCAATAGAGCAAGTCTTATCTTTTGTTCACTCCCTTCTTTTACACTGCCCCTCACCCCCACATCTCCAAAGAGCCCAGCTCTTAGCAAACAAACAACCAACACTGAGCAAGATATCAATCTTTCAGCAGGTCACCTTGTCAGGAAGTTAGAGTAGTCACTGGAAGACTTCCTCTGTCTTTTCCTCTTTTAAGAGCAAAACAAATGAGGGGAGTCATGCCAAAATAACATTAGTACCTCCAACAGCTACCTCTGTGTGATATTTGGCACTTGGCATATTTGGTAGGGTTTTTTTTGTGTGTGTGTCCATGAATGAAAGCCAACTAAACTATTAAAAAAAGGAAAACTGTAGCAAATCGTGAAATAAGTCTCATTATACTCTGGTGCTGCACCTGTAGACAAACCCCTCTCTGTTTTCAGGTCTCTACTATGATTCTTTGTGCTCTGCTTTAACAAAGGGGGCCATGGGTGTGACTGGGTGTTTTAAACACACACACAAAGAGTGTGTCAGTCGGTCACTGCTTTGACAGGAAGCTTTCATAGCGACTGTCCAAGCTAGAAACGTCTAAAAACATGAGCATGGAGATGAGCACTTACCTTTTTTCTCAACAGTTAGGTGCCCCAGTGGAGGATATTTACAGCGCTGGGCAAATTCAGAACAGTACCACACCAGGAGCTCCTGGCCAGGCTGAAGTGGCTTAATGGTGTAGAAAAAGATGTCCAACCCACTCTGGCATGCAATTAGATTCTGCTCCTCTACAGAACGTGCTGGGTTAACGTAACGCATCCAGTTGCTTTGCTCCTCACTCAAACCATCAAGGATGTGGTGTAATTGCCCCTCTGAAAAGACCTATGGTGTGAGGGAACCATTGTGACATGGAAGAAAATTCAGTTAAAAATGGCACATCATCATTGCTGACAAACCCTCATTCTGAAATCATGATGTCATAGTTCCATAGACTGTTTATGGTAAATAATGTGCATTCATTCAGCTGGGGTTGTGGCTGTTTGTGGCAGCACAGGTCATGTGTAGTTTTGAAAGAAACTGAACAAGATTTTCTCTGTATGCCTGGAAAACACTACAGGTTCCTCGCCCACGTCTACTATCAGTTATCACAAATGTAGTGGAGTTACCCAGTTGCCCTCCTCCCTGCTCCCATTTTTATGTTGTCTGCAGCATGAAACATGACTTTGTTCCTTGAGTCACTAACCAACCATCTCTTATGGCGCATTTAAGTTTCGGTTGAGCTTAGATTATTTCAAGGCTGCTAACCTGTTGAATTACAAAGAAGTGTGTGTGTGTGAGATGGAAGATGCCCTTATGCTGCAGATTCACAACATCACAGTTCTCAGGCTTAAAGCCACTTCCTCGCTGAGTCATTGTGAAAGTTTGTGAGTCTGAAGAAGTGCGGACATGTGTACGGTGTATTTACTGGCAGCAATACCACTGCTGAAAGAAGCAGAGAGAGAAGAAACTTTGCGTCACTGAAACCAAACAGCTGTGTGTGTGTGTGTGTGTGTGTGTGCGTGCATGTGAGAGAAAGAGAGGGTGAGAAAAAGAAGAGATGCCACAGAAATATTTGCATACATGGCACACTATCTGCGATACCTAAGCATTGGTAGAAAGACTGAACTTTAACAAGATGTCAGTCCTTGACCACAACTGCTAGCCTGCACCACAACACAGCCACTGCAGCGTCTCCAGCTGGAGCTGCAGGATGTGAACAGTTCTGAAACACTTACTCACTTACCCTCCAAAAGTATCTTCGGTCAGCATTTTTCGGAAGGGTTTCGTTGGTGTAGCTTTCACCAACAAAAGGGCCGAAGCAGGTTCCTTTGGGAATCAGCTCTTTACTCGTCACTCCGAGCACCTGTTCCACAGAGGGGACACAGAAACATCAAACAACAAATTACTTCCCAAATTGGAGACCTGAGCAGACACTGACTAGAATCACATAATTAGAGGGATGATATTCTTGGGAAAACTGTCAGCTTTATCAGACCTTAAATTCTTAAGGAATCTTTGTTTTGATTACTTAAAAAAAACCAGTAAATCTACGGCAGTGTAGTCTACATTTTTGTAGTGGGTATACCGCGGTAAAGTTAGTTTTACGTTGGACAATGGACACCGTTGAAGCCACGGTGCACAAATGTCCAACGTAAAACTAACTTTACCGCGGTTGGTCCGTATACTGTGCTTAGAGACGAGGTACACTGGTTAGTACAATGTAATTGTTCATTTATTTTGATTTTTAAGCATATTGAACATTTCCAAATTTCTCTGATGCTTATATTTGAATAAAAGTACAACAAACTTTGTACAACAGTTGACTTTGTATTAAAAACGTATTATAGAATTTATAAAACAGTATCAAAGCAAAATATGTTCAAGTATTAGGTAGTAAGTAAGGATAAGTGGATGTAATAAACCAGCTGCATACCAGTAGATTGTTACGGAAGCGTTTAACTGTCGTTTAACGTCTCACTGACATGTACCTAATGATACGTCATGTATCATTGGGCACTTTTAAGTGGGTATACTGAAATTCTTCAGCTTTTCTACTGGGACTACACCACTGATCTATGGGAAAAACTAACTTTTGCTCCTCTTGGTTTTGACATTCAATATTGTGTCAAAATGTTTGTTGCGAGCTTATGTTAATTATATTTTTTGTGCAGAGTGTATTCTATCTTTCGCATGCTGAATATTTCATAAGCCAGTCACCTGTTATCATCAGTTTCTCTGCCATATTAAATTTTCACCACTACTCTTGTTCTGTTACCTCCGGGTGTGAAACTCACTCCTCTTTTTCAGGCCTTAAGGCTGAGGAAAGAGAGGATAAGGTGTCATGGTCACACCCTGAATGGTGAACTGAGTTCCATGTTCAAAAAGCAAAATCACAAAAGTTATGGTAATTTAGTCTCCCTTTCATCTCACGGTATTACTGTCATAGTGTGTGCTGCTGGATCAACCACTGTAAGCAGCTGAACGTCTTAACTCTATTCAAGTTGTTTCTGTCAGTAACCTTGTTTGATGACTTTTTTATTTAGGTGCCCTTGTGCAACATATCCAGTTCTTCAGTGCCTACCAGACTCCAGACAAGTTGGTCAGAATGGTTATGCTGGTATTTAGCAACAGACACCAAACCTGCCTCCTCTGATCACATCTATATAACACGTTTTATCCTTAATCTTTGGTTTCCTTTCTATGGATTGTCGAGCTGAGCGAATCTTCTATCTTGCATTTACCAGACATTATGGAATGTTTTACCCTTATCCTCTCACAAACTATGTTCACTCAAAAGACTTTTAAAGGTGTTACGCATGTCAAGGGTCCACTTACAGCAGATTTGTTTTATGGTGTAATTTTCTGCAAGAACAAAGAGATCTAAGGTAGCTGGTAATCATAGTGCCCTCAGGCTAATTGCCAAGAAGCTTGGCCATTGTCTCAGTCTTTGCTTCAACACACAGAGCAGGGGGGAAAGACCCAAATTGGACAACAACATGTCAAGTACTTCCTGCCTGTGGATGGATGAGTGGATGGAAGGATGTTGGAGTGACGCAGAGTTGGCAGTCTCTAAAAACGCAAACAACTACTGGATGTTTTTGACTTTTGGTTTAATTGCATAATTTCTTCCTATGTTTTTGTAAGACAAGGATGAACTTATAAGAGCTGTAAATATCTCAAACCTAGTAGGAGAGTGTACCTCTTTTGAGTTGTGGCTCCGTTTTAGAGCGAGATTTCTGGGTAAGGACCTCTCCGCTCGCATCTTGCCGTGCCTTGTGGACTCTTCTTCCAGAGGTTGGTCCTTTACAATGTAGGTGCACTTCTCCTCAAAGTCTACCTCGCTCCATGATCTCATATCTACATCCTGTGTCCCTGACATCTCTGCAGTGGTGACTGCGATGCTTTGTGGAGGCCTTTCTGAGCTTAACATGGCTACGGTGCGTTCAGAGGAGGGGGCCTACAGAAAAGAGAGAAATAAAAATATGTAGTCACGTATTTTATTAGTTCATGACATTAAAATATGCAGATTTATTTGAACTAAAACTAAGGTCCGTTGCCTAATACATCAGGAGCCACACTAGCCCACTTGAAATATCTTTTTATGGACAAACTACACAATTTTTACTCATGTTTTAGCGCCAAAAAAAAAAGAGAAAATAGTACCATCACACAAACAACAGCTGTGTCAGAGGAAGTCCAGTTCCGAATGGAGCTAAAATTTGCTCCCCGGGTGTGAAGTCAGACTCGTAGAGGAGGCAGAGGCAAATTTGGGATAAAGAATTTAACTTCAGCTGCTACTACCGGACAAACAAACTTCAAAGTGCTTACTGCCCTATTAGCCCCACTGTCCGATACATCCTGTGACTCCAAATCACAAGCTCGAGGCTACAAGGAAGGGTTTTTTTGCACGCCAGCCCCGAAGCAAGACCACTTTCACAAGGAAACAAGCACTCCTGGTGAATCAACCCAACTTCCTTTAAACTGACTTGGCTCTCAGCCAGGTTTGAGCTCTCTTTCTCTTTCTTTCTGTCTGTTTGTTGCTTCCCCTCCGCCCTCTTCTCATAAAGATTGTGGTCAGGTTGCTCAGGCCTGCATGACAGCATGAAATAGAGAAGAGTGAAAAAGATGTAAGGCTTGTGTTGTGATCCACGGAGCTGCCTCTAAATAATCACTCTTCCGTTTGCCTCTGAGATGGTGACTGACAAGCTCCATGCTTGGTAATATTTGGTAAGCAATCATGTGACTTGTGCTCACCTGATAACAGGTTATACTCGACTCAGAACGTAAACATAATTGAGAATCGTGAAGTAAAGTGTAAATTAAGGAAGTGACGCGTAAAGTTTAACTTTTCTTTGTTGAAGTTTCTTAAGCTGAGCTAATCGTCATATGTTAAAACGTAAGACGAAATCTTGGCGAATAACAGAAGCGCACTCTGCAATAACAAAACTTCGACAACTCGTTTTCCAGGAGAGAAAAGTGCAACTAAAAAAGTACAGCGAGACGAGACTCATGCACGGCGTTTCACCCCATTTTTCTCTGAAGCGTGTCGCCACAGCTGACTCGGAATGACTGTTTTGAGTTTGACAGCTCACCCTGAAACCAGTAAACCTAGTGACACAGCAGAAAATATATTCTGACAATCAAGACGTGACTCAAAATCTCACATATGTGGCTAGCACGCCGGCATGTGTCAGTTTGACTCTAGAAAGCACACTTTATAAACGGACTCTATACCTTAGACAGTCATCTGCAGAAACAAGGCAGCAAATCAGTATTCTGTAGTCCGAAACGATCCAGAATATTCATTACAACCTGCTTCATATCAATGATCTTAGATGCACTTACTTTAAAGCCTTCAGAGGAGCCACACATAAGGCAGTCTGTCTTTGCCCTCCTTGAGCTTGAATTTCTCTGATCAACGAGCGGCTGTAGTTTCTCCTCTTCTGTCGCTAAGTGTGACCGACTGTGTGGCTGAGCGCTTGATTGTGGAAGAGGGAAGGTGTGCGCCTGAGAGTGTAAGAGAGAAATACACTCCCTTTTCCTCTCCTGCTCCCTCCCCCCTCATCCTCCCCCTGTTTTTACCCCATGATGACTCCTCCTTGGAGAGTGTGCGTGTGTCACTGTCTTGCCTTGAGGCGTGAAGCTTTCTCCAGGGGGTGTGTGTGTGTGTGGTGGGGGGGTGGGGGGTGGCTGTCACACAGCTATGTCCGGATCACACAGATACATCTTCTGACAGTCACCCTCTGTCTGTGGGCAAAGAGGAAGTCATACCTGTGGAAGATTTGAAAATAAGAAACATTAAGCAACAGTTCTTTAATTTAAATAGCACACACTGTATGTTGTGTACAGGTCTCTCTAATAAATGAGTCCTCGGGGCTCAGTGAGGCTAACCTGTAGAAGTGATGGTTGAATGAAAATTTAAAAAAAAAGAAGACAGAAAATAATTTAAAAAATTAGGGTCGGCGATAATCTTCTTGCAAGGTCGTTAAAAAAAGTCTGACAAAATTAAAAGCAATTTTTTTTGTCAATTGTTTTTCTGTCTAAAATTAAAATAAAGTGGTAATTGGAGATATGTCACTTTATCTGTGCTGCTCCATGCTGCTGATTTCTTTCCCATAAGCTGCTGTATTCATACCCATCTGCTCACAACAGACTCATGTTCAGGCTGCTGTTTCAGGGGTGTCAAACTCTGTTACAAAAGGGGGCTACAATTTAACGTTTATTTCAAAACCATAGTCCAGTTTTAGTCTAAATGTTATCTACAGTCAGAAACCTGACATCTTTTCTTGGTTGCAGACTCTTCAAGAGTTTTATTAGTCTCATTTGATGTTCTCTGTTGCTTTTACTGCATCAAAATCACTCATTAGGATAAAATTCAAGCTACTTTTCTTGGCTTCAAAGTTGTCCTTTGAGAAGTCTGCACTAAATAAAGTATGCTCAGTTTTAAAGTAAAACGAAAAGTGATAAAAGTATTTTACTTTCAAAAGGGGATCAGATAAGATTCCGGGCCTTCAGTTTGACACGCGTCTTAGAACTGTGTACAGTATACTGTTACCTGTACTTTTTTCTTTAATAAACTTTATATTTTTGCAATTTTTGGGTGTAACTGGGACCTTGAGTACACAATTTCATACCACCTCATGTACCACATGTGATGTGAATGACAATAAAGTCACCTTGAACCTTAATTGTAAAAAAAAAAGTAAAAGCTTAAATCCAAATGTTTCACATTAACCTCTACAAATTGATATATTTCCACTCAAAACTGTTTCTTGTCTTGCCCACTCACAAACGTACTGAATGTCATCTTTATTAAGACAAGAAAATAAGATACAATCATTTAAAACGAATCAAAAATTATTTATATTTTTTATTAGTTACTTAAATACCTGATGAATCTCAGCTTGTTTACCGTCTAACGTAATAAGAAATGTTTGTTTCACCAGAGACAACAAATCGGTGTGACCATTGGATTGTTGACTTGATAAATAAATGTTGACACAAAGGTGGATTTTCTAAAGCAAATATCCAGCCATTGTTCTGTGCATGCAAAAGTGAACACCAGAAAATATATATATATATATTTTTAACTGTTCTTCATGGTCATCTTTAGTCTGGTTTTACCGCTGCAGTCTTTTCTGCTTTTGTTTTCTCCTTCTGATTTGTTTGGCCGTCAGCCAGTCAGGCCAGGAATTGTCTGAATTCTCCAGTTCGTCATCCACACGCTCGACACGTGCCCTGCCGTGATAAGCTCCTGATCTGTGAGCTTATTATTTCCACAAACATTTACATTCTTGTTTACTTTCTCCTCTTTAGGAACGTTCGTATTGCGGCGCCAAAATGTCAAGTACCGTAGATTCTGTTCCTTTACGAATCCCCGCTTTGTTTTCGTGGTGTTTTGTCCTTCCTTTCATGCTTCCTGTCCCATTCACCACACCTGACCAAGCTACTAATTATGGCTGCTGACATGAACCACCGTGTAATTTAAAATCCACTTCTCTCTCTCCCTCTCCCTCTTTGGCTGTTTCGTTCTTGCTCTTTGCCTTCAGTCATCTCATTCATCACCTTCTATTCAACACTCCTCTCTTCCACCTCCTCCTCTTCCTCTCTAATACCTCTCTATCTGAACCGTATCCTCACTCCATTTATTACTTGGAGAACTGTGTGAGTAATTCACACAATGACAACGCAAACTTTTAGTTTAAGTCATTTAGAAGCAGAGATTGTGTGTCTGTGGATTAATTTGAAGGCGGGTTCATATCTTGATCTGGTTAGTTTGAAGTTGGTTTCAACCATGTGATATCTGGATTTCAATCTTAGAATGGTAGGATTATTAGTAGACTTGAAGTGGGGGGGGGGGTCCTCGTGACTCAATGAGACTACCTTAATAAATAAAAGGTAAAAAAAAAAAATCTGACCTATGAAATTACCAAACGGGTCACAGTGGACCAATGAAACGAGGAGTGGAGGAAAGAACGGGGAGGAGGAACTTGTGCCATTCGATAGCGGTGTGAATTGTGTATTAAAAGTGACACTCAAAGTTTGGTGGGAGGCTTGGATGACTGGTGGCGAGAAATCGTTGATCAAAACTGGCAGCATGCACAGAGCAATTTCTGCTCCAGTCTGCCAGTGGATCCTGACCGACGAGCAGTTTTTAAAAAAAATCCTCTGCAAGAGGAAGATGAAGATAGTGATCAATGACTTCCTGATAGGCTGCTGTATTTTTTTTTAACCAGCCATGTTACCGGCACTGTTCAGAATAAAAACAACATTTACTGTACATATTTGTGTATGTTACCGGTACATACGTAATCAAAAGTTTAAAAAATCTTTCTGTGTAAATGTCTCATGTTACAACATGGACACCTGCAGCTTATACAGAACTGCAGCCTATATATGTACAAAATTATCCATTATTAGTCCAGCCAAACCCTTAAAGTCCTCCATCACCGAGCTTAGTTGCAGAGAAAATTGTAATACCAAAGGCGAACAAATACTGTAACGCCGTACCCTCCACACACTTGAAATCATATCTGATATTCTCATCTCACTGTTTTCAATCCTTCTGAGGATCCGGCGTCTCTTCTCCGGTGGTTTATTATAGCCCAGCCACAAAGTTTTATTTTTTTAATTTATTTATACAGGTGTAGTCTCATTGAGTCACGAGGACTCATTTTGAAGAGAGACCTGTTTTGGGAGCAGATGGTGGCAACGGTGTTCTGCGTTTATATGTTGTTAATAAAAAGTTCTAAAAAAAATTAAAAACAGGGAGCGCTGGCCCTGCAGCCCACACATCAGACCAGCCCACCAGGAAATCTCCAGACCCTCTCGCAGCCACGCTGGACCTGATTTTAATTTGCTCGTGACAAATTCTTTCATTTCTCACAATTTCAGTCATGGCGTCAACGGACGAGGAGGAAGAGATCGCTTGTCTCTTGGAAAAAACAAAACAAAACAAAAGGCCATTAAACCAGATCAGGGATGAAGAAGGGGAATTTTATACATTGGTGTCTCATACAAAACAGTTTATTGCGCGACACAGAGTTCACGTACACAGTCGTAAAAATTGATCTTTGCATGGACATGTCTTGCGGGCGTCCACTTCGAGTCTAATCCGGTACGCGCGGACTGACGTACGCTCAAGTATATGGAAGCCGTAACACAGATTGAGTGTCTTTCAGAGTGTCTGTAAATGACATAAGTAGCTTTAGCTCTGTAATTTCCATGCTTGAGTCTGTATCTGCCTCGGGTCATTTGTTGATAAAGGACCAAAGGTGACCACTCTATACACCTCCCCCAAGAATGAAGACAATGGTCTTTATCTTAGCCTAATTAAAAAAAACATCAAGGCTAAAGTGGCTTTAAACAACTCACGGCTTTCACTTCTTGTTTCTTAAAATTTTACAACAGACTTCAACAAGAAAAAGATCTCATTTTTATCACTATTATCTGTTGGGAACACTCCCCGTCTCTTTCCACGCTGCTGGGATGTTTTTGTTTTTCGTGCTGCGCTGTTATCAACCTGTCAGGCCATGTCAGTCTGCTCAACCACTTCATGTTGCTGTGTGATTTTGTTACTTTTCATCACAAGACATTCTGCTCAGTTTGTGGTCGAGAAACCCCCCAGTTTAAATGTGCATTTCTTCCGGTTTGTATTAGTCTGATCGTGGTATGATAAGCTTTATTGACACGACATGAGCGATGTGAACCAAATGAATGTGATGCACCGAGCCTTAATCCATCCTTTTGCTGCTCTCTTATCCATCTCAGGTGCGGATGGGAATTAATGTCAGCACCGCATCCCAGACACCACCCACCGAGACCACTAACCATCTCCCCCAACAATTTGTTGGATGATCCCTTGTTGACAGGCCAGAGAGTTATTATGATGGTTTCAGGGCTTTGAGGAATGCTGCTGTGCTTTGCAACAGATGTTTTTTTGAGTCCTGACCAAACCACCCACAGAGATGAGGGGAAAGTAGTATCACCACTCTCTGCTGTCCCTCATATTAATGCTTGTAACCAAACACTGGCAGCCAATGTTCAGCTCTGACGTCACAAACGTTCATTCATAGACACGGTGGCTAGGTGTTCGTCTTTCCACAGGGGTACTGAATCTAATATCTACAGTTTTTAGCCACACATTCAGCTTGCATTTGTTTCTTTGGGTCAATTTGACTTGAATTTATGGATTTGATTGTGATTTGTGCATACAAATTTTGGTGCTTGTCACACGCCTTGCGTGATAATAAGTAAAGGAAGGAGTTGCCCTGAGACATTTATGTGACGGGCTGAAGAAACTGCAGTGAAAATGAAACCGTTCGAGTTCAGTTCAAAGCGAAATTATGCCTGGTATTCAGAAAGTAACCTTTGAATTATGAGGAAAACCATTCTGAACTTGTTACCGC